TTTTTAGTTTGATGTAGTCCCATTTGTGTATTTTTGCTTTAGTTGCCTGTGCCTTTGTAGTGTCGCTCAAAAAAGCACTGCCCACTCCCAGTTTGTGTAGTTTTTTCCATGTTTTCTTCTAGTAGTACCATAGTTTTGGGTCTTAAATTAGGTCTTTAATCCATTTTGAATTGATTTTTGTGTATAGTGAGAGCGAAGGGTCTAGTTTCAGTCTTCTACCTGTGGATATCCGGTTTTCCCAGAAACATTTATTATTATACACTGTCCTTTCCCCAGTGTATAATCTTGGCACCTCTGTCAAAAATCAGTTGGCTATAAGTGCATGGATTTATTTCTGGGCTCTCTATTCTGTTCCATTGATCTATTTTTCTGTTTTTATGACAGTAACCATGCTATTTTGGTTACGATACCTTTATAGTATATTTTGAAGTCAGGAAATGTGATGCCTCCAACTTTGTTGTTTTTTCCCCCCTACTTTGTCCTTTTTAGTCAAGATTGCTTTAGCTGTATGAGTCTTCCGTGGTTCCATACAGATTTTAAGATCATTTTTCTCTATTTCTGTGAAGAATGTCATTGGTATTTTGATGGGGATTGTGTTGAATATGTTGACTGCTTTGGGTAACGTGGACATTTTGATGATGTTAATTTTTCCAACCCATAAACATGGGATTTCTTTCCATATATTTGTGTCCCCTTCAGTATTTTTTACCAATGTTTTTAGTTTTCATCATAGAGGACTTTGACCTCTTTGGTTAAATTTACTCTTAGGTATCTCATTTTGTTGGCAACAGTTGCAAATGGGATTACTTTCTTGATTTCTTCTTCAGCTATTTCTTTATTGGCATATAGGAAGGCTTCTGATTTTCATGTGTTGATTTTGTATCCTGCCACTATCCTGATTTCATTCATTAGTTCTAGTACTATTTTGGTAGGGATTTTAGAGTTTTCTATGTGTAGGATCATGTCATCTGAAAATAAGGATAGTTTGACTTCCCCCTCTCGGATTTGGACGCCCTTTGCAAAGGTTAATTCTAGGTGTCAACTTGATTAGATTAAGGAATGCCAAGAAACGAGAGTGTTTCCAGAAGACATTAGCATGAGAGTCTGAGTGGACTGGGTGGGAAAGATCCACCCTCAATATGGGCGGGCACCATCCAATCCACTGGGGGCCTGGAGAGAACAAAAAGCAGAGAAAGCAGGAGAATCTGTCTTTCTATCTGCTGGAGCTGGGGATACACTCTTCTCTCCTGTCATGGACATCAGAGTCAAGACTCTTCAGCTTTTGGGTTCCAGGACTTACACCAAAGGCACTATCAGATTTCCTGGTTTTAAGGCCTTTGTACTTGGACTGAGCCACACTACCAGCATCCAGTTTGCAGACAGCCTGTTGTGGGACTTCTCTTCACAATCACATGAGCTATTTCCCCTAATAAAACCCCTCTCATGTATTTATAACATATCCTATTGATTCTGTCTCTCTGGAGAACCCTAGTACATCCTTTATTGCTTTCTCTTGCCTTATTGACTGGCTAGAACTTCCAGGACTATGTTGAATAAGAGTGGGGAAAGTAGGCATCCATGTCTTGTTCCAGATCTTAGAGGAAAAGCCCCCAGTTTTTGTTCATTCATTATGATATTTGCTGTGGGTATGTCATATATCGCCTTTATTGTGTTGAGATGCATTCCTTCCACACCTAACTTGTTGAGTGTTTTTATCATGAAGGGTCTTGGATTTTATCAAATTCTTTTTCTGGATCTATCAAAATGATCATTCTTTTTTCCCCTGCATTCTTTTGATGTGATGTATCACGTTTATTGATTTGCATATGTTGAACATCCTTGCATCCCTGGGATGAATCCCATTTGATCCATGGTGAATGATCTTTTTAGTGTGGTGTTGGATTATGTTTGCTAGCATTTTGTTGAGGATCTTCACATCTGTGTTCATTAGGGATATTGGTCTGTAGTTTTATCTTTTTCTGATTTTGTATTGAAGGTAATGCTGGCCTTGTAGAATGAGCTTGGAAGCATTCCCTCCCCTTCTAATTTTTTGTTAGATTTTAAGAATTGGCATTCATTCTTCTTTAAATGTTTGGTAAAATTCAGCAGTCCAACTGGTCCTGGACTTTTCTTTGTTGGAAGACTTTTTATTACTGCCTCAGCCTCATTACTTGTTACTTGTCTGTTTAGGATTTTAATTCTTCATGATTCAACCTTGGTAGTTATGCATGTCCAGGAATTTATGTTCCTTCTTGATTTTCCAGTTTGTTCACATATAGTTGTTTGTAGTAGTATGTGGTGATCCTTTGTATTTCTGTGGTATCAGTTGTAATATCTCCTTTTTCATTTCTGATTTTATTTATTTGAGTCTTCTCTCTTTTTTTCTTTGTTAGTCTAGCTAAAGGTTTATTGATTTTATCTTTACAACAGACCAACTCTGTTTCTTCAATCTTTTGTATTTTTAAAAAATCTGTAATTCAGGCCAGCTCATGGGTCACTCGGGAGAGTGTGGTACTGATAACACCAAGGCCATGGGTTCGGATCCCATATAGGGATGGCCGGTTTGCTCACTGGCTGAGCATGGTGCTGACAACACCAAGCCAAGGGTTGAGATCCCCTTACCGGTCATCTTTAAAAAAAAAAAAAAATCTGTAACTCATTTATTTCTGCTTTGATCTTTGTTATTTCTCTCTGTCTCCTGCTTTTGGGTTTGTTTTGCTTTTGTCTTTATAGTTCCTTGAGGTGTAATGTTAGATTGTTTATTGGAAGTTTTTCTTGATGTTTGATATAGGCATTTATTGCTATAAACTTCCCTCTTAGAACTGCTTGGCTGTACCCCATAGATTCTGGTTTATTTTCATTTGTCTCCAGGAACTTTTAAATTTCCTTTTTGTTTTATTCTTTGAAGCATCAATTGTCTAGGAGCATGTTGTTAATTTCCATGTATTTGTACAGTTTCTAGTGTCCCTTTTGTTGTTGATTTATAGTTTTATTCCACAGTGGTCAGACAAGGTAGTTGATATGATTTCAATTTTAAAAATTTGTTGAGTCTTATATTGGACTTAATGTATGACCTACTTTAGAGGATGTTTCATGTGCTGCTGAGAAGTATGTGTACTCTGCAGAGTACATGTATTTGGCTTATCATTATACTGTCATTATATTTATACATATACATATACCTGCCATTATACATACTATCATTATACCTATCATTGTATACAGTATCATTACTACTGATGTTTTCTGGTTAATTTTCTGTCTGGATGATCTGTCCTTTGGTGAAAATGGGGTGTTAAAGTCCCCAACTGTTAATGTGTTGGAGTTTATCTCTACCATGAGGTCAATAGTAATTGCTTGATATAACTGGGTACTCCAGTTTTGGGTATGTGTACATTTAGAATTGTTATATCCTCTTGTTGAGTTGATCCCTTTATCATTATGTAATGATTTTTTTAATCTTTTTTTTTTTTCTTAACTTTCCTTATCTCTTTTTTTTTTTTTT